GGCGAGACCACACTGTGCTCTCGGCTTCCAGCCTTGCCTTCCGCCTGCTGGCTTACTGACCCAGCCCGGTACCATCTGCCATCGGTCCCCCCACCCACCACCCTCCGTCCCCACCCTGACTTGCGCGGACAGTGAGACCGCGAACTCCACCCAGAGGGAGCGATGCAGTGATTGGCGGGAGACAGACTGCTGGTGACCCTGCCCACGAGCTTGGGCACAGCCCCCACGAGAGGCCCTGACCGAGCGCTCAGGCCCAGCAGCTCTTGGGCACTTCTGTTCTCGGCTGTATGATCTTCATAGAACATGGACCCAAAAGGGAACATGGGGACAAGTCTTGGGAATTCCTGAAGAAGCAGAACTGACTTCTCGCGGGCACCTAGGGCAGGGTAGAGGTGGCCCCAAGCCCCCTGTGGGGTTTACCTTGCAAGCGTGGCCTCCTCCCCTCCTGCAGACATCGACGAGTGCCAGGACCTCCCGGGGCTGTGCCAGGGGGGAGACTGTGCCAACACCTTCGGCAGCTTCCGGTGCGAGTGCCCGTCTGGCCACCACCTCAGCGGAAACACCCGTGTCTGTGCAGGTGAGCACGGCCCCCGCCGGCGCCTCCTTCCCGCCCGTCTTCCCGCCCAGCCGCTCCTCTCGCCCAGGTCCTGGGCCCCAAAGCACCCCCAGGAGCTTCCTTCGCTGCCCGGGTTCCCCGGGAGGGTGGGCGCGGGGTCCACCCCCTGCTGGCCGGCCCCCCACCCCCTCCCCGCTGACCTCCCAGCACTCAGAGATGCCTGGCTTTGCTGCCCGCCCTTTCCGGACAGTTTGCGGCTCCGCACTGGAAACCTCCGCAGGCCAGAGCACCTGCTTTCCCCAGCCGCACTGATCCTCACGGCCCTTGCTGCTCGCTCCGGCCGTGCTAGAATTTCTTCCTGGGCCCAAGTCATGTTTTCCTAAGTAGAAGTGCGATCCTAGTGCATTTTTTGAAAACCGAATGCCTGACCGTGTCTCTACATGTCACCATGATGGCTGTACACTGTGAAGTAACTTTGGGGCGCAGCTCGGGTCCCTAGAGCTGGGCTTGGGGTAGGCACTGTGCGGACACTTCGGCCAAGCCTCTCCCTCCCCTGCAGACATGGACGAATGCTCTGCCCAGCCGGGCGTCTGTGGCCCTGGCACCTGCCTCAACACGCCTGGGAGCTACACCTGTGTCTGCCCCTCGGAGCACCTGCCCGGCTATGGTGGCAGCAGCTGCCTGGGTACAGGCACCGATGCTGGGGAGAAGCCTGAGGGCGTGGGAGGGACTTGGGGAGTCTCAGTCTCCAAAGAGTGTAGAGGTGTGTTTGAGGGGCGCGGGGAGGCGGGGGTGTGTCTGAGATGTGACTGTGGCCCTGCACCGGCTTCAGCACGCCAGGCTGGCCACGTGAACTTGGGCCACGCTGTGCTCTGCCCCGTGAGGCTAAAGCCCCAGGGGCCCCCCGTGTGTGTATGTGGGGTGGGGAGACGCAGCCCGCTCTTGTCACCCGGCTTGAGTGAGCGCCGGCAGCTCATCCGTATCCCCAAGCTCACAGTTCCCTGCCTGCCTCCTCTCCCCAACTCCACATGTAGACATGCGAAGGGGCATCTGTTTCCAGCACTACAACGGCACGTGTCGGGACGAGCTGGGCGTCAGCGTGACCCGCAGGACGTGCTGCTGCGCCTACCTCGTGGGCCAAGCCTGGGACAGACCCTGCGAGGCCTGCCCCGCCCCGGCCAGCAGTGAGTGCTGCCCCCAGCCTGAGG